TAGCAATTCCAAGATGTGTTTCATCCACCTCAAGGATTACCTCCATCGAGAGAGTAGGAGCATGCTATCACGTTGAGGGAAGGTGTGTCACCCATTAGCATCAGGCCCTATAGATATCCTCAATTTCAAAAGGATGAGATTGAGAAGTTGATTAGAGAAATGCTGGAGGCAGGAATTATTAGACCCAATATCAATCCTTTTTCTAGTGTGTTATTGGTGAAAAAAAATATGGCAGCTGGAAGTTTTGTGTGGATTACAGGGCGATCAACAAAGAAACTGTGCTAGACAAGTTTCCTATACCAGTGATTGATGAACTGTTGGATGAACTAAGTAGAGCAGTAACGTTCACCAAGATAGATATGAAGTCAGGATATCATCAAATCAGAATGAAGATGGAAGATGTGCCAAAAACGACCTTCAGGACTCATGAGGGGCATTATGAGTTCTTGGTGATGCCTTTTGGCCTTACTAATACTCCAACCATATTTTAGTAACTCATGAATAAGGTCTTCAGGCCCTATCTCAAGTGATTTCTTTTGGTGTTCTTTGATGACATCCTAGTTTATAGCAGGATAGAGGAGGAACATTAGGAGCACTTGAGGAGGGTGTTAGGGGTGTTGCAGGAACATCTATTGAGGGCCAATCTGAAGAAGTGTTATTTTGCCCAGACAAGTGTGGAGTATTTGGGTCATATTTTGTCCAAAGAAGGGGTGACAGTAGATCAATAAAAAATTGAGGCTATGTTGAGATGATCATTACCTAAGAATCTGAGGGAGCTGAGATGATTCTTAGGACTGATAGGATACTACAGGAGATTCGTGAAAGGGCATAGCACTATGGGCCATTGATAGAGAAGTTGAAGAAGGATGGGTTCCTATGGGGGGAGGAGGCCACGACAGCTTTTGAGAGTTTCAAGAAGGCTATGACTATTGTGCCAGTCTTAGCTTTACTAGACTTCACTCAGGTCTTCATAGTGGAGACATATTCTTCAGGGTATGAACTGGGGGTAGTGCTCACACAGAATCGTCGACCCATTGCTTATTTCAGCCATGTTTTGACAGCTAGAGCCAGGCTGAAATCAATTTATGAGCGGGAATTGATAGTCATTGTATTAGCCATCCAGAAGTGGCGGCCCTACCTACTAGGTAGACATTTCATTGTCAGAACATATCAGATGAGCTTGAAGTACTTGTTGGAGCAGTGGATGGTGACGGAAGAGCATCATAGGTGGTTGTCCAAATTGCTGGGTTATGATTTTGAAATCCAGTATAGGTCAAGAGTGGAGAATAAGGCGACATATACTTTGTCCAGATGTATGGGGGAGTTATAGTAGTGTCAATCCCAATGATATTAGATTGGGAGGCCATTAAGGAGGAGAGCGCTCGAGATGAGGAGTTAGGGAAGATTAGGGCTCATTTATTGAGGAAAAGGAGTAGCCACCCTGGGTATTCCTTAGAGGGGGAGAGACTTTTGTACCAAGGGTGGTTTGTGATGCCTAGGACATCAGTCCACATTCCACACTTACTCAAGGAGTTCCATGGTAGCGCTATTAGAGATCACTTAGGGGTGCAGAAGACATATAGGAGGCTAGCTTCAGATTTATACTGGAAGGGGATGCATAAGGATGTGGAGGAGATGGTAGTCAGATGTGAGATCTATCAGAAGAACAAGTACATGGCCATGTCTCGAAGAGGATTACTACAGCCGCTAGCCTTACTAGGTTGAGTATGGGAGGAGATATCCTTGGATTTCATAGATGGACTTCCCCGGTTAGAAGGGTTTATAGTGATCATAGTGTTGGTGGATCTGTTGAGCAAGTATGTTAATTTCATTCCCCTATGTCATTTATACACTGTAGTGATAGTGGCATTAGCTTTCATCAGAGAGGTGGTCAGACTGCATGGAGTACCAGAGGTTATAGTATCCAACATGGATAAGGTGTTCCTCAACCACTTTTGGAGGGAGTTGTTCAGACTACATAGTACAGTATTAAAGAGAAGCACTGCCTACCACCCACAAACGGATGACCAAACAGAAGTGATCAACATGAGCTTGGAGACTTACCTCGGATGCTTTGTATCGGAGACACCCAAGTTATGGGCCAAATGGCTATCATGGGTGAGTATTGGTACAACACCTCTTATCACTCAGCTTCTCATATGACACCCTTCAAGGTGTTGTACGGAAGGAATCCACTTCACTTGGTACATTTTGGGCATAACAATACTCCAATTTCTTCAGTAGAGGAGTACTTGGAGGAGAGGGACAAGGTATTTGAAGAATTGAAGAGGCATCTGTTGAGAGCTCAACAGATTATAAAGAAACAGACTGATGGGCATAAGAAGGACATCCAATTCGTGATAGGGGAAATAGTGTTCTTGAAGCTCCAACCTTACAAGCAAAGTTCAATCACCAATAAGAGGAATGAGAAGCTGGCTCCAAGATACTTTGGATCTTATGATATAGTGGAAAGGATTGGATCAGTGGCTTATTGGCTAAAACTAGCAACAACGGCGAATATACACCTAGTGTTCTATGTATCTCAGCTGAGGAGGACAATTGAAGATTCTGCAACAAGCTTTGAGTTTACCGGTGACACTAACTGAGGATTTAGAGGTGATTTTGGAACCCTTGGTGTTGATGGGGGTTCGCCAGAGAGAAGATGAAACTAAGGAAGTGCTGATCAAATGGAAGAACCTCACAGACTACGACGTCGTATGGGAGCCATATGATAGGGTGAAACATCAGTTTTCTTGTTTCCACTTTGAGGACAAGGTAATTCTTTGGGAGGGCAGAATTATTAGGCCGGTTCAGACTGAACCGGTTCAACCCCAATCGGCCCTTGCAGGGCCGATTCTCTACTATAGGAGACGGACCCCCTAAGGGGGGGGGGATGAACTGTCGCCCAAGCTTAGGGGCCCGCTAGGCAATCCAATAGGGAATGAAGGGGAGGCTAGGAGAGGGAGGGAAAATTTGAATTCGAGATTTGAAATTAGAGAATTTTTGTATTAAATAGGAGTTGTCTAGGGTTAGGGTTATGCTTATTATTGTATTATCTTGGGGTTTTTTGGGTGTTTTGGGCTTTAGATTCATCATCTAGAGATTGGGAGAGAATGATCCTCCTCTCAAATTGAGGATCAATTGTATCTTTGCTTGTTCTTGCTTTTGTTTCGATTCCTATAATATAATCTATTATTTTGGATTGTTTTCATTGAAGATATTGAGGTTTTCTCGTTGTTTTTATCTATCTTGTTAGTGTTTACTTGAAATACTCAAGTATTTCTTATCAGAATGCATTGTATGAAATGCATCCAATAGTTTATACCTACATAGGCCCCGACGAGCGTGTTGTAGGTACACACGTGATGCCTGAGAATGCAGTACAGGTTAAGAAATAAATTTAGATTCAAACTCGATTCTCTGTCGGCAAGTAGACAGAGTTGACAAGGTTCAATCAACACAAACGTAACAACCTATGAACTCCCCGATGATGACCGTGTTGAATGTAAATTTTAACATGAGGGGTTCATATATTTCTTTAAATGCTCTCAATTTTTCATAAAATACAAGCATTTGCTAATGCCCATGAATACCCTGATGATGATCGTGTTGAATATTTATCTTAATAGGAGGGGATCATATATTTTCAAATACCCTCAAACTTCTGCAAAATAAAAATATTTTTAAATTTCCTCAAAATCATCCCAATGATGAATGTGTTGATAGAAAATCTCAACTAGAGAGGACCACAAATATCACAAGCATTTAAAATACCACCTAAACGCCCATAAAAATCCAAACTCCAAAGTACCAAAATCTAGATATTTAAAAAATGAAATAAACTATTAAACCATTTAAAACAAACACCCATCCACCTTCCGCAAAAGTTTGTCGAGCTGGATAAATTTGAAGACTACTCTAGCTCACAAAGAGTAATGTCTAGTCGAGAATATAATTAGGATTCATTCTCAATCAGTCTCTTGCCAGTAAAGATGTGGCACGCGTCCTCTAATCGGTGTTTTTGCTACCAAATGGCACCACATCGTGGATTCCGCTGCCAAATGGTGTCATAGATAAACGGTCATGATCAGGACCCTCTAAACTGGGTGGTTCATCATAAAATGAAACATTATATTACGGTCATGGTCAGAGCCTATATGCTCCCCAATGATATTAAATCCTTGAGATATGAATCAATAGAATATAATCGATAGGGCACAAAGCCCTCTGCCAGCTAAGGTCGATTCAAATTTGACCCCTTAGACAAGCATTCACCCTAGGTCTATAAGGTACCCTTGGATGACACAATCATGGTTGCTGACAAGGATTCTTCTGTCAGGTTGGGTCGACTACTTCGTCTGACTAAGTAAACCAGGGACCGTGATGGTCCGGGACAACGTAACCATGAGATCTTGATCGGGCTGATCATCACTCTCCCCACCATCCGCTTTAAGTGCAAGATGGTGAAATCTAAATTTTAAATATCAAATCTTTCAAATACCCTAAACCAATGATGCTACTATATGCTGAATATTACGTATCTACGGATACGATGTATTCATTCGACGACTAGCCTTAATTGAAAGTTCTATCTCGTGATCGGGAGGGGTAATTAACTATAGGGGCTTACACCTATGGAAACCAGAACTCAGATCATAAAGTCCTCGCAAAAAAGAGGGTGAAATCTCTATGTGTGTCTTATCTTCAAACCCAATTTGCTTTCTGAAAATTTACCCTAGTACTAAATCCGTTAAAACTCCCCTCGAAAGCAAAAAAGTGAAAGGTGTGGACAAGCTGGGGCTTGAATTTTCGATGCCCACACCACTTTAATGGCCTTATCGATTTGTCTTATTTGTTTAACTTCCCATGGGACCAGCCATCTCAAAAGTACTCTTGTATGAGTATGCTTAATTTTGAAGTTTCTATTGAAATTCCAACTGTTACACTAAATGATATATTAACGTCTAAGAATTCAGTTTTATTCTGGCAGTTTTATTCCTGTTTCACTATTAGTGTTTGTTTTCATGGTTTTTTTTTCTTTTGCCTCATTATTGTAAGTTTTGATTTCTTATATTTGCTTGTTCAGTTTTTATTTAGTTTTTAGTATTGCTCTGCAACAGAGTGCCGAAATACTCTGGATAAGACTGATGATGATTATGACTATACTTGAGTAGCGTTATCTTATAGGATCCACAATGAATTCTGGAGAATAATGATTTGGTATTGATATATGCAAGTATTTTGTACGCAGGAAATACATGATCCAACTGGTAACTGGCTATCTTCCCAGTGTCATTTTGCTTCTATTTTTCTATGCTGTACCACCAACAATGATGCTATTTTCTACTGTGGAAGGAGCTATCTCCCGCAGTGGCAGAAAAAAGAGTGCATGTTGCAAAGTATTATACTTCACGATTTGGAATGTTTTCTTTGTCAACGTTCTATCTGCATCTGTTATCCATCAGCTAATGTTCATTTCCCATCCAAAAGACATCCCTTTTGTTCTTGCTAGAACTTTACCAGGACAGGTAATTATTTCTGCAACGTTGTGGATGATATTGTGAAGCTCGTTGCTGGCCCATATTAAGTTAGATATTTTTCATTATTTTCCATTAGAGGAAGTTAACATGATCTGCAACAGGGAATTTTGCTTTTGGAAACCCAATGTTAAATTAAAAAAATTGTTTTAAGAAAATGTAGTAGAAAGTTTATGGGATAGGACTGCATGGTGAAAATTGCATCTACTTCTTAGTTTAAAGGTCCAAATCCATGCAATGCCTAAGAATTTTTGGTGGTACACTGCAAGTTCTCTCTGTTTATCTAGTATCTGTACCAGCTCGCTGAAAAATTTCTTAGCAAGTTGGTTTGAATTCATTTTTTTTACCTGCTATTAAGAAGAATAGAGCTATAGATGATAATATATTTTCTAGAAATAAAGCTGAATTGTTGAAATGAAAACGTATCTCAGGAGTAGTATTGAAAAAGCAAATATCTTGGACAATTAATAATAAATTTTATGAAACTATAATTAGACCAATAATATTTTATGGATTCAAGTATTTTGCAATGAAAATTTAAGCATAGAAATAAAAATGTTAAGATATATTATATATATATATATATATATAAAGATAATGTGGTGGGTTTCTTGTATAGAATTATACTATCGGCATTGCAATGGCATTCTAGCCCTCCATCATCGGTAAACTGAGTCCACAATGGCATTCTAGCCCTCCATTAGTATTGCTCTACAATTATAAAATAAAATTTTATTAACCACTAATTCATAGGTAGTGATGTCCTTAGTCAACAGTACTCTTTGGCATTAAGCTTAAGATGTAGTTAACCATAGGAGCTTCAACCATTGAGAAACCTCATCTCCCATATATAATATAAACTATTGATAATTCAAATTATTGTCTATGAGGAATCTTTGGAGAAGTAAAACAACCTTCCTTTGAAAACTCCATGCTAATCATCATCTAACCCCTAGCTCCAAAAGAGTTCGAGTCAGGGAGGGGCATTAAACTTGTGCTTGTGGTGATTCAGCTAGAAAATATTTCTCTCCATCTTTGGACATTATTGTTTCTTGTTCTCTCTGTGATGCAATCAAGGTGCTTTGTCCCTTTATTTGTTGTTCCTTGGCTACTATCTGGATGCTTCGGTTTTCTCCTCCTTGGCAGCTATGTTGTTGCTTCGGTTCCCCCCCCCCCCCCCCCCCCCCCCCCCCTTATGCTATGTGGATGCTTCGCTTCCCCCCTTAGCGGTTGTCCCTTTGGTCCCTGTTTGCTGCAGTTTTTTAGGTGTTCCTATTGGCTGTTTGGGAGGTGCATTAACTAGGTGTATTAATTATTTTTTTTTCTTTTTTTCCCCTATAAATGAGGTTGTTTGTTGTAGTTTTAGATGTATGGATATGTGATGATTTTTGGAATGTAAAACATGCTGGTTTGTTCTAGCTTGCGAGCTAGCCTTGTTTCCCTTATTCTCTATATTTCGTCTTGGTTTTCTACCTCTTCTTCTCTATCCACGGTTTCCGCCCCATTTGTATCTTTCTTCTCTTAATTAATATAAGTTGTAAGGTGTTGTGTTCTAGTATTGTTATATTATATATGTGTTTGTCTATGTTTATGGTAAGGAAGACTTTTAGTTGCAATCATAATGTATTTTTTTTTTGCACCAATTTAGTATTAGAGCTTTAGGTTGTAGGTCATGTCTTCCTTTCTTTTTAAAAAAATCAAAAACAAAAAAATGGAAAGCCAAATACTCAAAAGGCCGAAGTTCCACCTCAAGATGCAAAGGAGTCTGTAGATTGTGAAAGTCAACCTTCTATGTAGTCGATCTCATCAGGAGATGAGGATTTTCCATCATGGGAGAATTGATGCAATCAAGGTGCTCTGTCCTTTCAGTTGTTGTCCCTTAGCTGCTATCTAGATGCTTCAATTTTCCCCCATTGGTGCTTCGGTTTGTTGTCCCTTTGGTCCCTGTTTGCTGCAGTTTTCTAGGTGTTCCTATTGGTTATTTGGGAGTTGCGTTAAATACATGTATAAATTATTTTTTTTTCTTTTTTTTTCTCCTATAAATGGAGTTGTTTTTGGCAGTTTTAGATGTATGGATATGTCATGATTTTTGGAATGTAAAACCTCCGAGTTTGTTCTAGCTTGCAAGCTAGCCTCCTTGTCCCTTCCCCTCTACTATTTTGTCTCGGTTTTCTACATCTTCTCTATCAACGGTTCCCGCCCATTGTTATATTATATATATGTTTGTTTATGATAAGGAAGACTGTTAATTGCAATCATAATGTAATTTTTTTGGTTGCACCACTCTGTCGCTTACATTGATGTCATAGGTCTAATCAATGGTTCTTTCCGACTATCAGACTAGAGCGTATCATTCAACCATTACATCATATCAAAATATCTCCTTCAAGCAATAAGAATGCAAATGCGAGTCTCTTCAGGGATGATTACATCATTACACTAGCTTTCAAACCCTATTAACTACTCTTGTAGGTTTTTGCATGAATATTAAGCCTCAACAATGGCTGACAAATTGATCACAGTGGAACTTTCTCAAGGGCTGACCATGAAACTCCTGCATTTCATGCTAACTGCCATGGTGGTTGTAAATTGTAATATCCTGAAATTTAGGTAAAAGAAAATAATTTTATTTGAATTATCTTTTATTATAACAGTTCAATTATTTTTAATTAAACACAATTAGATAATTTCCAAAATCTGAATAGGTGCTTTTATTGGATGGGTAGCTTGGGAATCAGTTATCATGGTGAACCCCATTCTCTTATTCCTTTATCTGATTTGGAAGGCACGCATGCAGAAAACAGTGCATAGGAAAAAGGAAATATTATGTTTATTAATGTGGCACTCTACAATACTGATAAGGGATATTGTGGTGGAGTCATTCATTCAACCTTGGGGCAATCAAGTGCAAACAGAGATAACAATGGGGAACCCCACCCCATATGTAGCCAAGGAAGTATTTCCTGAACAAAATGGAGCAAGGCCCATCTAAACAATCAAGTGACAAGAAAGCAAGTACAGCAGTTAAATAACACTGTCAAGGTTGCACCTCTTCTCACCCAGTTAAAGAGGCCTAAAATATCTTCTACAGCCTTTCACCGCCTGGAGAAACACCCGTTGTAGAGAAGAAGCCAATACTTTAATAAGTCGGCAACCCTAGTTGCTTGTTCAGCTTTTAATCTGCCTACCCCTCCTTAGGAAGGGAGCATGATTTTTGATGCATCCTCACCAAGAAATCTAGGATGGGGAAGAAATAAGACGAAGTCCCACCACTAGATGAAGTTGATGATGAAATCATCTCTTCCTGCCCACAATAAGTACCAAATGCTTGCGAGAACCATAGCCCAGAAGGCATGGATAAAGAACAAACGATTGAGCAGTGAACAAGGCTATAAAGGGGAAAATTCTCAAAATCCATCTTCCAATATCTACAAAGTTTTACAAGCTTTTACAAAGGCACCTAAGCCTTATCAACCCCTAAAACACGAGTAGATCTATGACTCATAGGGGGATGGATAACTTCTTAGGAAGTTCCGTTAAGAGAATAAAACTGCGAGGCTTTTTAGATCAAAGCGAATAATATGTCTACAAACGAGACTTTGGCCTGTTACGATATAAAGATTTTGTTGATTAGTATCTGTTTGAGGTTCATCTTAATGTACACTATGCAAGAGTTACTTAGCTGGTAGTCATTCAGAAGACATTTCAAACTGTCACCCATTACTCCACAGTTATTTTTCTGATGAAATTTGTAAGAGTGCTAATCCATTTGTTTGTCAAAATCTCAGTCATCCTTTGGCACTTGATCCCACAGTCAAGATGAGAATTCGTAGGAGACTCACCTGGATCACGCCAATCTCCTTCTATATTTGGGTGGTTGAATTAAGAAGGATTATATTGAGGCAATTATGTATCAATTAGAAGTCATTTGTTTCTTTATTAAGACATCTTGGATAGATCTATAAATAGAAATAATTTTGTATAAGAATTAGAAGGCATATTTTTCCCTCTAAAATTCTATGAATTCTAACATGGTATTAGAGCCACAAAGGAAGAGGGAACCATCGAAGCCTGAAGCCGCAACGGAAGCCTCGATCCTCCTCGTGGAAGAAGAAGACGAAGTCGGCGATCCTCCTCAAGGAAGAAGAAATCGAAACTTTGCCCTCGACGGAAGCCTCACAGAAGTAATAAGAAGCCGAAGACTCGCCCTAAGCCGTAGATGGAACCCCTGCCGACAAAAGCTTGCCAACCGACGTCGAAGTTGAGCAGAAGACGCTGGATCCGACCGGAAGGGGCTCCCGATCCAGATGTCGTAACTTCCGATCAAACATGAAGGGAAAGTCGTTGAAGGAGCGTAGTCGAACAGCCACAAAGGAGCCAAAGAAGCATCGCTTTCCTACACCTCTTGTGTAGGAACGAAGCCTTGCGACCGAAGCCAAGGTCGCAGACGGAGCTTACAACGCGGACAGAGCTTCATTTCCCATACGACAAAATCGAAGCGTGCGAACGAAGCCATAGACAGAGGCAGATGGAGCATTACTGACATATGTTGAAGACGAATGCCGATACGCCAAAGACAGACGCCGCAGAATCCACAGTCGGTGCCGCAAGAAGCTGCCAACACTGCTCTCATGCCGACGCCGAAACCAGGAGTTTTTCGGGATGGAGAATGGAGATACTCACGCATGCGCCCTACCTGCTGCTCGATCCGAGTTTTTAAAACTCGGCTTTGTTCAGTTTATTAAACCAAGTGGTTCGATTAATTAAACCAAGAGATTTGGAAAAAAAAGTCTTAAATCAGATCTGATTAAGACCAGATAGCAGCCTTTATTGCTGACATAACCAAATCAGTCTTTATTGTTGACATAATCAAATCAGCCTTTATTGCTGATATAATCAAATCAGCCTTTATTGCTAATATAATCAAATTAGCCTTTAGGGCATCTCCAACCGAACGCCAAACGAGCGTTTGGCGTCATTCCTTCGCTCCAGCCGAACGCCAAAAAATACTCCATTTGCTTGCGGGTGAACAGTGCAACGCCAATATTGGCGTTGCACTGTTCACCCACGCCATTTTTCTCTGTCAACCGGAAAAATGCGGGAAAGGAGAAGGGTCGTTACCTTGGCGCAGAAGCAAAAAAATGGCGTTGGATTGGAGCAGCATCAGGTCATTTTTGCTTTTTGCGGTATTTTGGCGTGAAAAATAGAGTTCTCGGTTGGAGATGACCTTATTGTTGTTATAGCACCACAATGTCTGAAGAAAATTCAATACAGCGCTTTCATCAAATTGAAGAATCTATGATACACCAAGGACAGGGTGACCTCCAAAGCACGCAACCTTCATATCGCCTAAATGGGAAAAACCATCTAAAGTGGTCTCAATTTGTGAAGACCTACTTAAAAGGGAAAGACAAATTCCTACCACCGGCCTTCATTGCTGGAATTCTGAAGAATACAAAGTTCCCACAACCGGCCTTCATTGCTGAAATTTTAAGGAATACAAGTTCCCACAACTGGCCTTCATTGCCAAAATTCTAAGGAATATTGGTCTTTCAACCGGCCTTCATTGTCGGAATTTTGAGGATAGGTTCCCATCACCGGCCTTCATTGCCGGCCTTCTCTTGCGTTTTTTATCCTATCTATAACCAATGCAACATTCATTGTTGCCCTGCTCAACATAGCCTTCATTACTACCCCGCACCTTGCAAGCTTGATTGATATAGCCTTCATCGCTATCATTTTTTGTCGTCATAATGTCTGAAGTTAATTCCTCCCAAAGTTTTGATCAAATAGAGGACTATATAGTGTACCAAGGGACTTGTTAGCTCTACATCTGTGCGACTAATTCCAAGCTGGGAATGAAAGATCTATATTCTCCAGCTTGAGGGGGGTGTCAAAATCTCAGTCATCCCTTGGCACTTGATCCCACGGTCAGGATGAGAATTCGTGGGAGACTCACCTGGATCACGTCAATCTCCTTCTATATTTGATAGCTGAATTAAGAAGGATTATATTGAGGCAATTATGTATCAATTAGAAATTATTTATTTCTTTATTAAGACATCTTGTATAGATCTATAAATAGGGATAATTTTGTATAATAATTAGAAGACATTTTTTCCTCTAAAATTCTATGAATTCTAACACCTTGCCATTGACTAGACAGAGTAGTGGATATTCTGAGCTATTGAGGAGAGTTCAGAACAGGGATGCCAGAGGATTTCATTAATCCAACTACCATAATAGAGTTTTAGCCCTTTCCATTCCTAGTCATGCAATTTGAAGAATATTAGATGCATCATTACCTGAAATGAATCTTTCCAGAAGTTCTATGCATTCTAACCTTCATAGAACTTCTGTTAGTGGTCTTTCTGTTACGTTAGTCATTTACTGATTTTTTTTCCTCCAGGACAATAATGTCTGACATGAAATCTGCACCACAGACTTCGTTGCTATTCTTGTCTCAGAAAAATTGAAGCTAAACAATCAAAAGCTTCCCGTTACCGTGATTTTGATGAACTTTCCCTGTCTTATAGTGAATCTTAAATGGAGGAAAGGTAGCTGATATAAAACTGAAAAAAGTGAAAGGAGGGATGTGTAATCTATCCATATAGATAGAGAGAAAGAATCTTACAATTCCTTTTTTGAGATCAAATAGGACATCAGCTCTTTTTTATCTATATGTATTTGCTTCCAAGATTTTTCTCAGCGCGTTATCTTACAAATTTTGCTTGCTGAAATGTCGTAAGTGGCTATGTTTTTATGCTCTCGGTAAAATACTATTTATGTGCTCAAAGTGAGACAAATATTCTTTTGATATTTTTCTTTTCCTTTTACAGGCTACCTTTTTTATTACTTATGTCTTGACTTCAGGCTGGACAAGTTTATGTGCTGAACTGGTACAATGTTTTCCCCTTACTTATAATCTGCTACAAAAGTATGTATTTAGAAAAAAGTTAGATGATCCAAATATGGTGCCAACATTCCCATATCACACTGAAGTTCCGAGAGTCTTGCTTTTTGGGCTTCTCGGATTCACATGTTCTATTTTGGCACCATTGATATTGCCATTCTTGATGGTGTATTTCTTGCTTGGCTACTTGATATACCGCAACCAGGTTAGCACTTGATGAGCTTTGTAGCATTAATCAGATATCACAATATTTACTCTAGCCTAAATCTTTCCATTGTGAGAGAGACTTTCGTTTATATGCATCTTAATTCTGAATTAATGAAGTGCCTTGTGGTATGCTATTTTTTGCTTAAGCCGCATATTTCTTTTAGTGAAGTTTTTTTTTTTTAAGAAGTGAAGAGTTGGATTGATGAAGACAATTTTTATAATATGAGGGCCTAAAATTAGTAAAATGAAACAAAATAAAATGTATGCATTTAATGCATTTGAAATTACTAAGCACTAATCAATATTTTTTAAAAAACAAGTGTTATTGTTAACTATAAATGATTAGTTTAAGAAAATTGAAGGCATGTTAACAGAATAGTGATATTAAGCTGGAAGTAACTTCCATCTTTTATATGTATATGAGGTTTTATATGCATAATATCCAAAACTATCTTATTTACATATTTAACACCCAAAACTTTATATTTAATACCATAACACTTAATTATGTAAGCAACATCAAAAATATCATTTTCTATTAACTTCTTGTTAACTTCATATTGCCTTTCTCACGGTACGACTTCCTCAACTCTTCTTCATTATCGAGGATTTCAAGATTGCATATATTGGGTCCTGTCGATAGTCTCCACAAAAATATCTTATCACAACTTCCTCCAATTTTCTTTGTTATCGACATACTTTGCTAGTTCCATTGATGGCCTTCCTCTAGTGAGATCCCATTGTGACTTTCTCTTCTCGTTTTTTTCAAAATTGAACACGCGGCCAATGAGCCCATTGATTGCCTTCCCTAGTGAGATCCCATTGCTCCTTCCTCACCTCTTATTTAACGTACGTGAGGCGGAGTTAATAGAGTGGTAGATTAAGTAATAGTAATGTTTAAGTGTTAGATAAATATGATAGTTTTGAGTCTTATGTATATAAATTTTCAAATATACGTTAGCATCGAAATAAGTTTTGATTGTAATATAACGCACTTATTTAATCAAAATAAAAAAAAAAACAATAAAATGAAGCATATTTTAAAATACAATATTATTTAATAATTAGAAAATAAAGTAATTATTATAAAATGATGCACTTCCTAACCATAACTAATTAGGCTAATTCATAACTTAACTTTCTTTGAATTAGGTCTGATTAAATTTTGTTTGGAGTTAATAATTATAAGATTTTTTTCTAAAATGAAAATAATTCTTTGGGCAATAAACTTAATGAAATAGCTTAATCTAATATATTATATAGACTTTCTAACTTTCAGTCAAATAATATGCTTGAAAAAGAATAAAATCATATATGTGGTAATCATAGTTGGCAAACGTCAATTAATCAGAGAAATATTTCTTGGTTGTTGGATGGTAGGCACTCTGATGAATTCAATATTGTATATTATTCTTTACTAAATCGAATTATTTACAGGAAACCATGAAAGTGGATGAAGAGATTCATCGGTAGTTGGGCTCTACCCTATGTAAGAGGAAGACAACTTGCTTAGTCAATTTGATCATATTGATTTAGATTTGGTTTTCATATTTTTTTATTTTGCCTTTAATCTAGGACTTTTGGGTTAAAAATCATATTTATATAAAAATATATCTAAACATATAAATATTATATAATTAATATTATGTTTTATTTCATTGTTTAACATACCAAAAGTTTAGTTAACTTGCTCTTAATCATCAAACTTGCAAAAATCCTTATCTAAATCATATTTTCATATATGTCCTTGCTTCAATTTGTCCCACTAAATAGAACTTGAATTCCATTCTCTCTGTATTATCTTGCTGCTTAATGTGATTGTGCTTGATATGGAAATAAATGTCTTATATGCCACCATGTAATCGTTGAGTTTTATAGAATGTGTTATTAGTTGCACTTTCCACAGCTGGTTACTTGCTGATTATTTTCATTCTGCAGATGCTTAATGTTTATCGTACAAAATATGAGAGTGGGGGACAACTATGGCCCGTTGTGCACAACTCCACAATATTCTCCCTTGTCCTTGCACAGATAATAGCCCTCGGAGTATTCGGAATAAAGAAATCAACGGTTGCATCAGGTCTAGTCGTCCCTCTTGTGATATTCACCCTCCTTTTCCATGAGTACTGCAGGAAACGCTTCCTCCCAATATTCAAAAACTTCTCTGCACAGGTTGGCTCCCTGCTTGTTTTGTACAACTCTGCTGTAAGCCAAATGCTTAACCATGAGGCTATGAACCTTGGCATTGAAACATATCTTTCTATTATCAAAGAGGAAATGAACTATATGTTCCTTGCGAAATGCCTTGCTATCTGTTATTCTCATTCATAGCCTGATGTATTTTTGGACCCTTGCAGGCCCTCGTTGAGATGGATAGAGAGGATGAGATGTCTGGAAAGATGGAAGAAATCCACCTGCTACTTCAATCTGCTTATTCTCAGCCTGTACCCAAAGATAAAGATGAAGATGAAGATGATGTGGTTGATGGGGGTGGAGACGGTGGAGCGGAGAACTCTGCTTCAGTAATTTGATTTTACTACAAGCAAATGAGCTGATTTTGTTTTGCGACGTGCTTGGTGCCATTTTTAGTCATATTCTAGCTCATCAATGTAAGGATCTCCTTCCTCCAGGAGCCACCTGGACAGAACCGTTTCCTTGGCTTGTAAATCTTAGTTGATCCAAGTATTAATTTCTTTTTTTTTTTAAGTGCAATAATGTTTAAAATTGTCAGCTTACCACAGCATTTTTCTAGGTTACTGGCAATCTCGCACCATGAATTCTACTAGTGAATAAGAACATGATCCTCGAGCATGAAATCTTCATTGCGCTACTAAGCCTGCCAATGAGTGTTTGGACTGCAGACAGAATGCAAAACCTCAGGTCTTTTGTTTGTTGCATAACTAGAGGGTAGACTAAGATAGATATAGTCATCAAGCTCAAGTTGTAACTTTGACTTGCCATTTTCTTTTTCTATTGAGTAAATTAGACCAGTTTCTGCTGTCTGAGATGTTTGCAGCATATATCATAAACCATATGGTCGAATTTGGCTAAACAATTAACCCAATACTACTATGTATGCAAGCTCAAAAAATCATTTATAGCTGAACAGCTTACCTTAAAATCTCATGAACCTCAACATTACTAATGATCATTGGAGATAACATGAAGGCAAATAGGTCCAAAACAATCAACATCAAAATGATAACAATAGTTTCGCCTTCCAGCAAAATTCCAGCAAATTGAGACCTTCATCCATTGCAAAATTAATTATGACAATTAGCCTTTAATAAAAATCTTCCTGTAGGTTTTTCTTATGAGATTTATAGACACATTTCCTCTCTATCAATCTACAGTCTTACTGTTCGTGATTTAAAAGTTTAAACTAATTGCAAATACAAATTTTTTTATTTAATTATACAATTTATTTAGTGATTTGTATTTTAGGTCATTTGTGTGAACATGCAAGTTTTGATGTTTTTGAGAACGAAATGTGTTCACTAATGTTCTAAATCCTGCGGTCTGATTCAACTTACTTGGTTCAAATATCTGGTCTGTTGTTAGGTGCCTTGAAGATATTAAAGATCACAATAGAAGGAGATATGTGATTCCCTGTTTTAACTCTCCTATAGTTATACAGTACTATTAATTTTATGGGATGGAGCACAGCTGTAAATGCAGGTTTTTAGTAATTTTGAAAGTTGGGGATTGTTGACCGTTATAAAAGGTAAATGTTTTATGTCTGCATATGCGAAATATGAGACCGATTGTAATTTTTCAAAAATAAAAAAAAAATTAGTTCTTTCTCAAAATGTTATGGTTGTTAGATTTTGAATTCTTCAAATAGGATACAGTGTTGACCATCAATTTTTGAAAGAATTTATTTTCTGTCCGGAGCGAGCAGGATGATAATGGATTGAAAAATTATGCTCACCATTGTTCAAATTCAAAAATAATTGGGCAAGATAAAATGTATTGAGTGAGCTCAAAAGAAAAAAAAAAATAGAGCGAAAGATTAGATAGAAAACCTATCAAGTGCTTAGGCTAAAATGAATGGATTGCTTAAAAAAAATTATTTATCTTTATCATATTGTAATGATTACATAATGAATTTAATCCATTAAGATATAGACATGCTAGAAGAAATGGCTTTCTGCAATATACCACTTGCTTGTTTTGGTTATACAACAGTCTAATAGCTTAAAGGAAAAGATATAGCATGCTTTAGACACCTTTACCTGTTCCTTCCAAACTTTGGGAAGATGTTAACATGAATTTTATATTAAGACTATCATAAAACTATTAACAAGTCTAATATAATCCAATTATATTATAATAAAGTGGTTAATTTTTATAGCTTACCCAAAATCATTATGGCTAATAAGGATGGAAAATTCACCGAGTTATTACTTTAATTTATTATAACAAAAAACAGGATAAGAAAACACTTAAAATACAATGGCCCAAAATCATCTGGATAAATATTGAAAGGGGCTAGGTGTTTGCTAGATGATACCTTTTCCTCTATCAGAAAACTAAAAGTTATAGAAAAACCTTGGCCCCGCTCCTTGGCACCATAATGGCTACTCTAATCATCATGGAAATAAACTTTGTGTTGAGATATAATAATAGATATAACTCGGTTATGATTTTGGGAGTACACACAATAAATATTATATCAAATGGAATCCCTCAGAAGTAATTCATTTGTTCTACAAATTGCTATATTCCATGCCCAAGAGAGCTTTCAACAACAAACAAGAAATATAAGCCAACTCGTTTTGCTTACATGCGATGAGCTGCAATTCAGTCTCCGGTAAGTTGCAGGGCATCCACTTCTTCCTTATTCTGAATAATTTTAGCTTGTTTCATCTCTTTTGCCAGCCATAAGATTTGCATCAATCCACCATTACCAATGTGGCAGAAAAGCACCCACCCTGGTATTCTGAACCTCAAATAAATGAATCTCAGAGTAGCAAAAAATAATCCAATGCCCCAAACTTCTTTCATATTATTTCCACCCTGATCAGCGTCCATGAAATCATGAATAAGTTACACAACAACAACAAAAGAATGTTTCAAGAGTTTTACTGTTCTACCATCATCTTAAGTTGTTAACCTAAAGGGATTTCTAAAATTTGGTAGAAACTAACCTTTACATTGCTTTCAAAGAGCTCTTGACAGAATTCATTCAATAAGTCTGCCAGAAGTACACCTATGAATAGACCCAACGGAACCAAGAGCTCTCTGCCAGCAAAAACTGCCATGAGGGCATCATACACTGAACTGAAAATAAGCAGCGCAATAAGGGACGATGTAAGTGCGTTCTTTCCAACAACAAGAAGGCGCTCCTCAACCATCAATTTTGCTTTCTCCCAGGGGAATTCTTTTATGGCTTGTGGAGAGGCATCCAAAATTTGGCCTGCCAAATTGTGCAAGTAAGATGAAAACTTGGTCAGATAATCAATATGTTTACCAGTTGAAGCCTTTATTGAGCATGCTATCGGAACCAGCCTATAAAGGGATCTTGCCCTTCCTGTGAACCTGCAATGACAAAGTAGGTCCCTCTTACTGTAGTTGATTAATACCTGTCAAAAATGTAATCAAATCAAATAAATCTTTCAAAAAGAAAAGCAAATCCAGAGTCAAAATGAAGTTAGAACATCTAATCCTTATGGTGTAGAACAGACTCTAGAAATTTGGAATTTGTCAAAGAATAAAAACTCGCAGATATAAACAGATGCCTGCTAAATTCTCTCACGCAAATTACACTGCATTTGATCTTGCTGCTACAGAGAAGCATGGTGAAAGTTATGAACCAATAAGTTTTCAAAAGGCTGCATCAGGAAATGATGAGTATTCATGTTTGAGAACCTTTACACCAAAAAAATGAGTTGTAAATGGTTCTTTTTTTTAAAGAAAGGAGCTTCATGGATTGAAAGAATCAGGTTTAAGTTGATGCTAGTAACTCGAGGCTTTTCTCAAACTGAAAGGGTTGATTATTCAGAGGTATTTTCTCCTATGGTCAAGCATAAATTTTGCTTGTCTCAAGAATATTAGAAACATGTTTCTTGTCGGATGCATGCAAAGACTGTTTTCTTTCATGGATAATTGGAAGAAAAACATCCAAATAAAGCAACCACCTAGTTTGAAGAGAAATATGGAAACAATATGGTGTATGGGTTACAACAGTCTCCTCCATCAAAGTTATAAAAATTTTGATGAGCTTATGAGGAATATATATACTTTGAGAGAAGTCTCCATGATAGTTGTGTCTATCTAAGAAAGTCTTTTGTAGGAAATATGTCTTATCTATTATTATATATATAGATGATATGCTAATGAAAGTAAAGATGAGAGAGAAGTAATGAGGATGAAACTTCAACTTATGTAAGAATTTGAAATAAAAGATTTGGGATCAGCTAAGCATATATTAAGCATTGAGATTGTGAATTATGAAAAGGGAACTCTTTTCTTATCTAAAAAGGGGTATGCAAAAAGTTCGCAAAGAGGTTCAACATGGATAATTCAATACACCTTTGACTCAACATTTTAAGCTCTAGTTTGAGAACTTAAAATCCGCATAGTTATTCATATGGAATAGATGCCTTATTGTAATGTTGTTGGGTGCTTGAAAGCTAATATTCATTTTATTCTATGTAAAAGGCAAAAATTTAAAATAATAATAATAAAAGAAACACGAGGAACCTCAATTGAGCTCACAAAATAGATGACAACTGAAATTTATTATATCTTTAAAATGACCTTAGATAGTTTGAGAACCTTAAACAATAAAAGCTTCCATAGACGCATTGTTTTCTCTTCCATTCGACTACATATTACATGAAACAAACAAAAGTGCAGTTTTTCCCCAATCGCCAAAGTTCTAAATCCAAACCATAAAATCCGCATAGTTATTCAGATTAAAATAAACGTCATAAAGCCATTTACATCAAAAGGACTTGATAGACTCAGACATACCAAAAGATCCTGAAGGATTCAAGACATGGGGCGTAAAAAGAAGAAAGCTTACCCTAGGTTCAAAACCAAAGGGAAGTTTCGCGGAAGTGGTGAGAGCAAGCGTCATATTCTCTTCTCTAATTGTGCCGTTCTCTCCTTTTCTCTCCCTTCAGCTCTCCCCCGCTTCTCTCTCTCTCTCTCTCTCTGATTCCGGGCACAGGGTTTAGTCCTTTAGGGCTTAAGTCTTAACTCATCGTGAAGAATGACAGTAAAGCTTAGCGGGTCAGCGTTGGAAAACGTACACGCTCTTGGTGGATAATTTGGGCCCAATCACTACTGGGCTTTCCAGCCCATTTAGAATTGTTTCATAAATGGAGCGTCACGATAGCCCACCTAAAAGATGGCCTTCACTCTGACAGAGCACTAAAATAAAAATTTTATACGATCAATTATAATAAACAAATAAAAACTCGTGCAATATATATATAAGGCTCCATACCTATCATCAATTTTGATTTATTCAGTGTTTAAGTATTTTAATCGAAAAAGTTAGTCATCAGTTGAAATCGAAAAAAAAAAAGTTTCATTACGTCAATCTTTCATTGCATGGTTAATTCTATATTTAAATTGGATGAATTTAATTTGACTAAATAATCAGTTTTTTTTTTCTTTATTTGAGATTGCATGGTTAATTTTGTGTTTAAATTGTCCTTTTATATATATTGATACTTTAAACCTATATATTTATTGGTATGAGCATCATTATCCAACTGATTTAATAATATATAACATTTTCACCTTCATTTATTTCATTATCTTCTCTCATCTTCGAAAAAGAATTCGGCTCATGTTCACTGAATGATTTTGAACTCAACAATCATTAATAATTTTATCAATATTTTCAATTTTGCTAACTAACTTTAACAATGATGCTTTCATTGTGAGCTGAGCTCATTGATTCGAATTAATGATAAAATCAGTACTATTAAAATCAAAGATTAGATGCATATATTCTTCTTCTTTTTTTATCTATATATTAATGGAGTGTAAAATGAAATATATATATATATATATATATATATCTTATTGCTTCTCTTCTCTCTTATACTGTTCTCACATATAAAACACAAGAGAAAGTCAAGTAAATAATACAAATGGACACCACGCTTGAGAAATAAATTAGAAACAAAACAGTTCAACCTGCCTCTCGAAGCATTGTGGCACCAATTTGGAGCGCTGCAGCGATAGTCTGGAGCGTTGTTATGCTCAAGCCTGTATCATCATGATGTTGCAACGCTCAAACTCGCCACGTTGTTGCATCACAAAGCGCTGTGGTGCTTTGCTCTAATAAGTGAAAATAATTTTATGTTTTATGTGTTATTTTGTCAATGAAAATGTATTATTTTAGTTGTGTTTATGCAGGAAAATACAATGGGAGAAAAATTTTAAGTATGGTACAGTGTCGTGTCATCGGACACAACACCGCCGTAATGCCATCGTTAACACCACCAAAACACCCACATATGGGCATGGTGGTGCCTAGTGTCTGTTTGAGTAGTTTGACAGTGCCGCAACGTCGGAGCAATCAACGCCACAAAGCTCATTCTCTATCTGCACATCGCCATGGTGCAAAAGTCCATTGCTGCCAAGCCAATGGGAGTGCCACGTCAATGTCGCATTGCTTAACTATCAGTAGCGTCGCGACACTACGGTTGTAACCGTTCAGGCCACAATCTTCCAGTGAAGCGACAATCAATTCATTAAACAATGAATCCATGTCAGCAAGGTAGCGCTACAGCTAAGGAAACCCTTCAACGCTACAGCATTAGTTCATTTTATGGGCTCTGCAATGTAAGTGTCTCGAGCACTACGATGCCAAAATCCGTTTTCTGTGTTTTTCTATAAATAGTCTGTTTGTAATGTTAATATAGGAGTTCAATCACTTGTTTAACTTCAATCTTTGTAGTGTTTACCTATTTTTCCTTAGGAGTGACAACTAAGATAATTCAGATAAGTACTGGAAACATTTCACTGAGTACTTGGCTTGTGTTTGTAGAAGCAATTCTTTATGTTCGAGTTTAAAGGAGATCACTGAACACGTACATTTGATGATATCTTTTCTTCTGTACTTTCTTTTTTATACAATTATTAAAAATGAATTTGCTTCGATTGTTCTTATATATATGAAAGACTTTTTTTTTTAGAATGGGGGTATTTACCTGTTGCCACCCAACAGCACTGAAAGTTAAATTGACTTTGACTATTTTATTCAATCAATTTCTCAAAATTGGTCCATTTATAGTAAATAATCTTAGGTGTCTCATTACAATATGTATAAATGGTAGGTTTATCCTCAAAACTAAATAATTTAAATTAGCATGAGTAAGATATTTTTCTTCTTTGATTTAATTTATATTAAAAAAAAAACTGCTTTGTTGAGTAGGATAAGCTTAAATTGTATTGAAAAAACTTTTTAATTGAATTATTTAATATTTTTGAGAGACGATCATATATTGTAAGGACTAATATTTAATCTTTATTTATTTTTTTAATCAGTTAGTCAACTATCCTGTTTCTAAAGTGAAAAATAAATAGAATATAATAATTAAGATACTCTTGGTCTAGCTAGCTAGGCTGATTATTGATGAATCCAACTGCTAGAACATTAAACCCACTTCCCAACTACTCTAACAGCAAGGGAAATTAATTATTTGTTGCAATATTATAAGCAGTAGATGGGAATGAAGGAAGATGGTTTTTCCTTGATCTTGTCTTTTGAAGCATGCATTTTTTTTTTTTTTTTTTTAATGATACTACTTGTTTGAGTGAGCAACCGGCCAATATTTTGTAATTTCTTTTTTTATTTATTTAAGTTCATCTAGATTTAGGATCTAATTGGGATGACTGAAACATTTTATAAAGTTTGTTTTGAAGTTTGTTGTGAAAAAAATAATTTCGCTACTATAGTTGTAGAAAATAATCTTCAACCACAAAATTTTTTGAAAAATAGTGAGAAAATAATTGTTAAACGAAACTATAATTATTATCTGAAAAGTAAAATAGATAGAAAGATGTCCCAATCAAACTCTAAGTACTTTAAAATAAATCATTCAACATAAGTTATCATTCATAAATTGCTCAAGAAATGGCCACGAATTTTGCAAAGCTACACAATTATTAATACTTGAATCCTAACTATTGGCTTTTAACACAATAATCATTACTCATCAACATTTTTAGTCGTTTAGAACAAGTTAATCTACTAGGATGCAATACTTGATCAAGAGGGCATCAATTAAAGCGTCCCAAATGAAGCCTAAGATGAATCAAAGTACATGTGGCTTGATCAGAAATTGCCTGTCTTATGAGAGAACTTTTATTACGTCCGGTGCAAGGACGTAGAGGAACGTCCGGTAGGAGGCAATTTCCCGTCAAAAAATCAGGTATTTGCTCGGTACAACTAGGTATTATTTGATAATAATGAGGAATACCGTTCTCTGAAGACCAATACCGAGTTATACCGAGCTGTATCAAGAAATACCGAGTTGTACCGAGTTTTTCTGGGAAAAACTTGGTACAACTTTGGTATAACTCGGTATTTGCTCGGTAAAACCCGGTATAACTCGGTATTGGGTCTTCAAATGATGGTATTCTTCGTTATTATTTGGTATTGCTCGGTATTTGCTCGGTACAACTCCTTTTTTGACGGGAATTTGCCGGAGGACGTAATAATTGTTCCTTATGAGATCAAGTATAGGGTGGTGATAAAGACTTCTGTTGTGAAACTGTGGAAGTCTTCGGAGGAAAAGTATCTACCGAAGAGTGTGGAGAATCGGCTCTATATATAATGCTAGCTCTATAGATTTCTGCTGAGACATGGGGTTACCATGGATGAGAATTTGAATGATTTCACAAAATTGTTAGTAGATCTATTAAATATTGTTAAGAAGTTTGTAGATAAGAAAATTCACTCCTTCTATTGAATTTGCTCCCATTTGAGTATGAAAACTTCACGATAACTCTCATTCATGGGAAGGTCTTGACTTATAGTGAGGTGACTATGACATTATTGAATCATGAGTTCCATAGAAGGGATAATGAATATTTAAAGATGGATTCGAACGAGACTCTTACACTCCAACAAGAAAGGTATGAGAAATAGAAGAATAAAAAGGGCGACAGCGGTAATAAGCGGGATAAGTCTCGTGGGCATAGTCTTAAGAAGAATTAGTGTGCTTTATATTTAGAGACAGCATCATTCGATGGGCGGTGATATTTTATCTCTTTTAGTGATGATTGCTCCATATATGTTTGGATGCATACCATGAAGCTCAAAAACGAGGTACTAGAGATCTTCAAAACTTAGAATAAGTGGATTAAAACTCGGACTGGTAAAAGGATCTGGTGTCTTTGATCAGATAATGGGGGCACACGAATATATATTAGATGCATTCTTATAATAGTTTTACAGATCTAGGATAGAGCACAACTTCACTGTTAGAGAGACAACACAATAGAATAGGGTGACAGAGAGGATGAACCAGACTTTGGTGGAAAAAATTGATGTATGTTATCAAATGTCGGGTTAGATAGAGTCTATTAGGCTGAGGCTATAGACTGTACTTGTTTAAAATTCTATGATTAGGGAGAGGAGAAGATTGTCATTAGCATAGATGTTACATTCGACGAGGAGAGCATATTGAAGTCTCGGGATTCAAAGTAGGTGAAAAGTTCTATTGGGATCACAAATGCACTAAAAAGCTAACGCGCGTTTGATGCAACTCCATTTGTTCCACATATTACATTCATTTCTACCCAGGTACCTAATTTAATTATAGATAAGGAGGTAGAAGATGATGTTGAGAATGAGGTTCCTGCTCAAGAATTAATTGCTATGAGTAGGACTAGACGCTAGAATAATCCTAAACCAGGTTGGTTAAATAACCACATTGTATTTACACTTTCATTTATTGAGGCTGAAATTCCAAATCACTATAAGGAAGAAGTAGAAAGTCTATATGGTGATTTTTGAAAGAGCACTATAGATGAAGAGATGAAGTATCCTTAGAAGAATACTACTTCGAGATTGGTGAAGCTTCCTCCAAGAAGGAAAGCCAATTGGTGCAAATGGGTGTGTACGTATAAAGAAGGAACAATCTTATGAATATGATGTGTGGTAGAAGGCTAGTTAGTGGTAAAAGGCTCTACGTATGGATAGAAGGAATTGACTATGATGAGGTGTATGTTCTC